GGGTAAGGTGTGTGGGTGTTCCCAAGTCCTGCTCCCTCCAGGGGTGGGCTCACTGCCCCCCGAATGTGGGCTGGACTGACGTGGGCAGTCGTCAAGCCTTGCAGCACTTTTCCACCTGCTCTGGGCTCCCTGGCCGTGGGGACGCCGGTCGCCTGGGAGGACACGCAAACAGCCGCATGGAGAGGCCCCCTCAGGGAAGAGCTCAGGGCCCAGCAATAGCTACATGTGGGAGCTTAGAAGTGGACTCCCCAGTGCTGGTGGAGTCTTCACGGTCAGAGGACCGTGGCCTGTGGGGACTCCCCGAGCCAGAGCCACCCGGTTAAGCCTGTCCCAGACCCTGACCCACAGAAGGTTTGTCGTTTTGAGGGGCTACTTCACACAGCAGCAGAAAAGCACTGCTCATACTGGTGGGACTTAAGTCCCAGGACGGCATGTGTCCGTTGGGCGGGGAGAAGCACACAACGCCCCTGAAATCTCAGTGTTTAGCTCACACCGCAGGCAACCCCCGGGCTGGCTCAGTGTCCCAGGCCCCAAGTGGTGGCAGGTCTCGCTCACCACGCGCCTGCATGGGAGCTTCAGGGGTCGAGAGCTCTCCAAGCCTTTGCCAGCGTGAGCCGGTGACAGTGCACCTTCCAGCTGTGGGGCAGCCCTTCCCTGCCGCTTGCCTGGGAAGGAAAGTCCGCGGAGGTGCTGGCGAGCCCGGTGGCGCCGGCCGCACTGTCCGTTTCCTCCTTCCCTCTCGCTCTGGCTCATCTCTCTGGACCTTTGTGCCCCTTCTCCCAGGAGCCCGAGCTTGTGTCTCAGGCTTGCCGGGCACAGCCTTCCATCCCTACAGCCTGGGGCGCAGAGCCTCTGACCACAACCAGGCCTTTATGCAGCTCCGAGAGATGTGCTGCTCCATTTTGACTGCTGCCGCTCCCGTCTGCTGCTCCCCTCCTCAGCAGCTCCCACTGACCCCATGTCACGTCCCTCAGCCTCCGCCCCAAGCACTTTATGTTTTCCCTCGTGACCTTCAAAGCACCGATTGGGGTCTCAGCACCGGCCACCTGTCCCTTCTACTCATTGCCAAGTTGCGTGCTGGTTTGGCCTCAGAAAGTCATTCTGTGGCGTCCTTTGACCTCCTCTGATACCGTCCCTTTGGTGATTAGCTTTGCTGTCTCAAGGAGCGGTCTGGGGGTCCTGACCAGTCTCTCTGGCTGTTGTCAGCTCTGTGCAGCGCTGGGGGCCTGGTGTCCACAGCCGGTAGGAGTGCAAAGTGCAGCAGCTCCACCGGCAGGGAAGGCGAGGCGGGCCCAAGCCGCAGGGACCCTGGAGGCCTGCGGGAAGGGCGTGAGGCGCACCTGTCCCTGGGCCACACGCTGTTCTCCCAAGTGCAGGTACAGCTGAGGGGGGACTAGCCATGGAGAGGGCGAGTCGGGCTGCAGGGGCGGGCAGGACGCCTCCCAACACCCCGTGCCCACCGAGCCGCCCTGACCGCGCCTGGAGCTTTGGGAGCCTGTACTTGCCCATGTCATGTTCGGGCACCGCCTGTCATGGCTCCCACCTTTGTGTCTGCTGCTTTCCCCCCGAGGCTACCCCCGCCTGGCACCTCCCGAGAACTGAGTCCTCGCCACCTCTGTGGTGGGCTTCCAGGATCTGCCAAAGCCAGGGGGGCCACAAACTGCTGTGGGCCAGACCGCTTCCTCCCAGCCTCAGCTGCTCTCCTGTGCGGTGGTCTCTAAGCTCTGGCACCCGGATTTTCCCAACCTGAGACCCTCACAGGCCCCTGCTGGCCTGCCTGGCTCTTTAGAGACCTGGCTCTGGGGGTCTGCTGAGGAGGGGTCAAGCCAGCTGGGTCTTGGGACAGGGACAGCTGGAGTCAGGTCACCACAAGGCCACCGCCAGGGCCTGGCTCACAGGGGTTAATGGCCCGGCTGCCCAGGGACCTGCTTGGCATCTCCTCTCTGGTCCCCGGGGCTCCGTTTCTTCGGAGACTTGGCAGTCACTGCTGTCGCCAAGCAGAGCCAGCAGGCGTGGTCCCCAGGGCCCAGCTGAGGAAGCCTCGGTGGCCCCGGGTGGCAGTGCAGGAGGCACTGATCTCCAGCTGCTCGCCAGGACGCTGGGTCAGCCTGGCAGGTTGAGTTGCCCCTCGGTCCAGGCCGGGGAGGGAGGAGGCACTGCTCTGACCACGTGGGGATAAGAGCAAGAGGGAGACGGCAGCCAGTCCCACCTGTGCCATGGAATCTGCAGTGATGGCCAACGAGGGCAGGTCACTCTTTAAGTTCCCTGCCCATGGAGAGAGGGCCTGCTACCGGCTGCCCTTTCTCTCCCAGCACCGCCCAGCTCCCACCTGGGGCCTCAGCCCTCCACCCAGACCTACCCCAGGCTCCAGGCCAGCCCCGCACCCCAGCCCCTGCACATCTGAAGCCCACCCCCCAGTGGCACCTTGGTACCCTCCATCTCTCCACTGCGCAGCACGTGGGTCCTGGGTGCAAATGAGGGCGTGGTGTGTGGGTCGCAGGGTGCTGGGCACAACCCCAGTCAGTCTTCATGGTTACATAAGGGGGGGGGCACAGTCCCCGAAGTGAGACTCCGTTGTCCAGGAGTGACGCAGACATGAGACAGTCAAGCATGGAATGTGCTGGGCCCCAGCCTGAGCCGCTCCAGTGTAGCCATCAGTGTGAGCTGGCCGTGGCCTGGAAAAGGGTGGACAGCCCTGTCCGCACCCTGCCAGGCACCAGGTCATTCAAGAAGGAAGGCGAGACCCTGAGGTGGGCTCGGGACACTGGCGGCAGGCTCAGAGGGAGGGCCAGGCTGCACTCACACAGGTGTGGTGTGCACACAGGCGAGTGTGGGTGCCACCTGCTCTTGTTGGTGACAGCCAGCCTCCCCGCTCCTACCCCAGGTAGGCAGTGTCCTGTGAGCCTCTCCCAGACCCCAGGCCGGACCCACCCCCGCCAAGATTACAGGGGCTTCCCGAGAACATGGGGGACCCACCAGATGGCTTCCCCATCCTGCAGAAGGGACTCGAGCCCACCTGTGCCCACCTTGTCTCCGCTCATCCCCCACCTGACGGGGCTCAGGACACCCCGCCAGCCCAGTCCTGGGCCCCCACCCACCTGCTCACACTGTTTCCACCTGTGTCTCGGGCTGCATGCTGGGTCCTTCTCTCTACCTGTTCTCCCCGCAGCGGGTCCCGGAGCTCGCGGACATTTTAGAGAGGATGGCGTTGTTGTTTCTAGCCCTTCCACGTCGTTCTTTTTCAAATCTGCCAGGTTGTTATTTTCCAAGCTTCCGTTTGACCTGTTAGCATTTCCAACCTGTCTTCTTTGAGCAAACATGTTTTATACTCAGGGTCTGAGCGTCCAGTATGCACCTGACGCCTGGCCGGCTACTTCCGGTGGCTCTTGCTCATGGTGCCAGGTTCGCTGAGCGCTAGGGTTTGGACTGTTGTCTGTTCATTGACCTTGAAAAAATCACTTGAGGCACACAGAGGTCTAGGACAAAGGACCTTGCACCAAGGAGCCCAGGTTAGGTAATCATGGTTGAAAAGGAAACTCAACACTTGGAGGGTTTCTGGCCAGCCGGTGGCGGGAGTGTGAGCTCCACGTCCATGCAAGTCTGGCATGGACCATGACTTCTCAGGGGCAGACTCCCTACCTGGTCTGCCTGGGGCACCCCCTGGGAACCTGGCGGAAAGCTCACCTCTGCGCCCCTCACCTGGAGGGCACAAACCTCGGGGTCCAGATAATTGTGACAGGGCCTACCACAGACCTGGCCTCACCACAGCGGAGCTGGTGGGACAGAGATGGGCCTGCAGGAGGCTGCGCCTCCCATGTGCACTGCAGTAGGCATGGCATCTGGAGAACCCGACAGCGGGAGTGCCTTAAGGACAGGTGTCCAGGTGGTGACCAGCAAACAGCAAACCAGCTCGCAGCTCCCGCCCAGGCTGTTCACAGGGTTTTTCTCTCTCTTACAGATTCTGTTCTGGTCTTTGTCCCTCAACTCAGGGACCACCTGCCCCTCTCAGGAGGGCACATGACTTATGCACAAAGATACTAGACAGCCTTCCACAGCTGGCCCAAGGCCACCAAGCCAAGTCGTTTTCTGGCCCGTGAGATGGCCCTAGTTTCATTCTCTCAAGTTGGCCCTTGTAATCCCTGACAACCTTGATAGGTCTTTATGGCCAAGGGAACCTTGAACTATTTTATAAAGCATTTTGTAGCTGCTATTAGTAGGGGCGGTGTAAAGCGCTTCCTCTGCCCCCATTCCCAGGACCGCTTCCAAGAAGCCTGTGTCACCTGCATGGAACACCAACTCGATCAATGTTCAGCAGGACTGGCTCACTGCTCATGGCCGCCAGGGCCACGTGGCCCGACATGCAGCCCACACTCCAGCCTCTCCACTGTGGAGACCCCACGCCTGTCCCAAATGCACATAACAAAGGAACAGGACCCCAAGAATAAGGGAGACCAAAATGTTTAAGTTATTAAATCAAATATACAGAGTGATTCATTTAATATGTACACATTTACAAAAATGCACTTTCACGGGGGGGAGGGGAGGGCCGGGGCCGGCAGGTGGGCAGTGGCCTGGTGCCCACGGCAAACGCTGACAGTTGCAAGGGGAGAGTTTGTGTGAAGGCACTTGTCACAAGCTTCAATACTGCCACCGTCCCGGGGAGAACAGAGCAGTCAGGAAGGGCACTTCTGAAAACACAGTTGAGGGATCTCTAGAGTGAATGTTCCGGACAGGAGCAAGTGAGGACAGCAGACTGGGGGGCCTGACGGGTGAGCCGGCGAGGGGCTGCCCACAGGCCTCAGGCCACGCCAACTGCCACGACCCCACTGATGACCTCAAGCCCCCCTGACAACCACAGGTGCCATGGTCAGCCACAGGCCACACACACAGCCAGGTGCCACACGGACGGCCACGGGTGGTCCCACCAACAGCCGTGGGCCACACGGACGGCCACGGGTCCCATCAACGCCGTGGGCCATCAGCCCCACTGGCTCTTTGGCCTGGAGCCACTGAGAACCCCAAGTGAGGAATACACAGGAAGACTGTAAACAGCACACCGCCACTGGTAACCAGCGTTCCACAGCTTGGTGAGCACACGACACCCTCTGCTCTCCCCTGCCACGCGGCCGGCGCCCGCCGGAAACGGTACAAAAATAGCAACTATCCGAGAACGCCCCGCCGTTTTCCGCCTGACAGTTACCGAATAATTTATACAAGGTTAACGAAACATAGAAAATAAAACATTTGTTTTTGGTTTTTGGTGGTTTTTTTACACAAAATAAACTATGCACACAGCCTCAGCCTCCCACGGTCCGGCGGCAGGTCACGCGCGGCCGGCTGGCGCCCTGCCTACTCCTGGCCAGCGCGGCGGGCCTCGCCCACGCCCCTGACGGTGCGGTTGTCCACCTTGGGGCCTGAGGCCCAGCCGGCCGGCCTCCCGGGGGAGAGGCCGGGCTCTTTGGTGAGTTTGTGCGCGAGGAACTTCTCGGCCTCCAGGGAGTCCTCTTCCGCGCGGCCCGGCTCCTCGTCCTCCTCGTCCTCGCCCCCCGCGCGGCCCGCCCTGCGCGGCGGGGGCGTGAAGTTCTTGCACTGGTACAGCGCTTCCTTGTGGCCGCCCGCGGGCCGCTCGATGGGGTTGCGGATGGGGTTGAGCGGGGCCCACTGGTTGTTGGCGCTCTCCTCCCGCGGCAGCCGGCTCCTCTCCCGCTCTTTCCTGCGCTTGCGGGTCCACCAGACGCAGACGGCCACGCAGGCCAGACACAGCACGCTGAACACGCCGCACAGCACGGGCACCAGCACACCTGCATGGACGGCGGCATCTGCAGCCCAGGCGCCACCGGGCCCCGGCCCCGGCCACAGCCCACAAACCTCCCACTTAGCCCCTGCTCACCTGTGGGGGAGCCGCCCATGACCACGGTCTCCACCTTGACCTCAGTGACTGCCAGCAGCAGCGAGCTGTTTCCCCGCTGCGTGATGGCGTCCACGATGGCGTGAGCAGCGCTCTGGATCAGGCTGCTGTCCGGCAGGTCCCGTGCGGGGCTGAAGGACTGCAGCAGAGGGCAACGCTGTGGTGCCTGCCCGTGGACCCCCGGGGCCTGCGCCCCACCACCACCCCCGGTGGGAGCCTGGACAGAGTGCCTGGCCCTGTGCCCTCCAGCCGACGGGAATGCCACGGCTGCCATCCAGCTGCACAGACGTCGCAGGCACTGTGGTCCTGAGCAGGGCTGCGGGCTTGGGAGCCTGGGTCCCCGGGGTCTTGTTGAGGGGACGGCTCCATTAGGCAGTTCACAGGGAGGTGGGTGTGGCTTGACTGTCCTTTCCACTAACCCCCTTGCATCTGGGGCAGGAACTGTGGTCAGGGGGCCGCTGGCAACCCCAAGGGCACCACAAGCCCAGTACTGCCCCCAGTGCTGGAGCTGTTCTGGCTGTGCCTCTGCCCATGTGGCACCCTGCCACCCAATGCTGGCACCAAGCCAGCACCTTGAGGAACTGCTCTGCCTCCTTCCCCGTCCCTGCACACCCCCAGCCACAGCCTCACCCTACCCTGTGGCTTCTGGTTTATTGGACAACCCCCCAGGGCCCAGAGCAGGACCCTGAGGACGCCTGCTATTCCCCATCACTGTCTGCCCCAGGCTGGTCTACTTTCCTTCCTGCCATCACCTGGGATCTCTCTTCACTCCAGGGACCCCTGCCCAGAGCCCCAACCTCCTGGCTTCAGACGCCAGATACGAGAAGAGGCACAGTCCAAGTGCAGGGCCCCAGTCAGCATGCTGCCCAGGCTGTCTCTGAAACTCCAACCAGCACCTGACCTAGCCATGTGACCTGCTGACCCGGCACCCCTCCCCTATCGCTTCTGCAGCCTGAGCCCAGCTCCCTCAGTACCTCTACCCACCCTCTCCTCCAGATCATGTGGGCCCCTGCCCCTGCCTCACCTGCAGACAAGCTCCTGTGGGCCTCTGCCAGCCCGCTGCAGACCAATCATTTCAGCAGACAGGACGAGTGACCTCACCCTACACCCTTGCTCCACGTCCCTCAAGAAGCTGAGCCCTAATTGCCGACGACCATCTCCCTCTGCTCCGAGCCACTCCCTGGCCCCTCCTGTCCACTCTTGGACATGTACGCACTGGCTCCTCCAACCTCTGCTTTGCCCCAGCTGCCGGCCCAGCAGTGGACCTAACCTTCTAACCGGTCCGTATGCATTGCCTTGAACTGTGCCCCCCCCAGTCCTGGGTTTAGCTCTCACTGCTCCCCTCCCACCCCTGCTGGGCCGACACCTCCTCTCCTCCAGGCCTCCCATCCCAGCTCCACCAGCCTCCAGTGAGGGCACGCACAGCCCACCTTACACAACTGCAGTGGGGGTAGACTCATGAGTCAATGGGTCACCCTGTCTCCCCGACGACATGGGGACCAGCCTGGCCTGGGCCCTCTGCCCCAGCACCTCCCAGGAGCACACAAAGTGCGCTGAACGAGGGTGGCCACTGGGCCCATCCAGCACTCACCATGGCCACCTCCACAGCACTGGCCCCTGAGGATGGCCGGTCACAAAGCAGCACGAGCAGGCGGTCCCGGGCCACCGTCCTTGTGGCTGGCAGGGCACGAATTCCTGAGCAGATGGCGCCCACAGTAGTACCCTGGGCAGAGATGGGTAGCACATGAGCGGGGCTCAGTCGTCTCCTAGCTGGCACCAAAGGCATGTGGCAGGACACACCTTATAGCCCGTCTGGGGACACAGAGTGGGGATGCAGGGGTCCCAGTGGGGAGCTAGTCTCCCACACCAGTCCTGTGCCCCATACCCAGGACACAGATCACTCCGCCGGAGTATATACTTGTCCTTTTGCTCCACCCACAGGCCCCAGGGGGTGGAGTGGGGTGTAGCTGGGCCTCACCTGCTTCTGAGCCCCTCCCTCCTGGGCTCAAAGCACTCAGGCCATAGGATGGCTCACAGAGTTGCAGGCTGGCCCTGGCCTCCCCTGGAAGGCCGATGGGCCTAGACTGGGTGGCACCTTGGCTGGGCCCACCACTCCTGGCCACGCTCTGCTGCCCACACAGGGCACACACAGCTCAGTGCCCCCTCCCATCTGACCGTACAAGTCTGGGCTCCCTGAGTGGCCACGTGGCCAACCATAGCCCCCTAACTCCACAGGGGCCAAGCCACGGCCAGCCAGCATGGCAGGCAGCTGGGAGCGGTCTCTGCCACCTGAGTGACCACTCCGAGAGGACAGGAGCATCCGGGCTCTGCAGGCACTCGGGGTGCCCACCGCCAGCACCCTCACCTGGGGCACTTGGTCTCGGTCGAAGTGCAGCGTGAGGCGTGCGCAGCTGTTGTCCAAGTGGCCAGAGCCCGGCAGGCAGGCGGTGCCGGGCAGCGGGGGCTCCGCCGTGCTGCACTCCCCCCAGGCAGCACAGGGTGGCTGCAGGCACTGGCCCGGGGCCTTCTCCCGGCACTGCTGCCCTGGTGGGCACTGGGCACTCAGGGTGTCTGGCCGGCCGGTCAGCAGGCAAGGTTTCCTGCCGCACCACACCTGGGCCAGCACGCACAAGGAGGAACACACACGGGCACCCACAGAAATACGCGGGCACCACGCGGGGAGACACATGGGTGGGGTCAGCAAGTCACAGGACCGTGCCTCACCCCACCACCCAGAGCTCCCAGGCTGACCCTAGCAGCAGAAAGGACTCCCACTAGAGCAGGGGTAGCCCCAAGGGAGGGTGGGGCCAGGGGGCTCCCAGGCCTTGGGCTCCTGGGGCCTGAGCACGGCTAAGCCTCAGTTTCCCCAGCTGTACAATGAGGAGGAGCCTGGCTGTACCAGAGGGCCCTCCTCCCCGGGGGCCCAGCCGAGGGGGGTAGACTTGGCTCACCCCCCAGCACCAGTTCCCAAGTCTCACAGGGTGAGTCAGGGTAATGGGCAAAAGACAGGGCCACCCCAAGCCAAGGGCACCAGGACATCAGACCTGGGCAGGGCAGGACTGGTCAGGAAGGCTCTTGGGCAGGGGGCCCCTGGCACCTTGCTGCACACTCGGCGGCCATCCAGGCAGCGGCAGCTATTACAGTCTTCCATCCAGGAGCTCCCGTGTGGGACGGGCACACCCTGTGACCAGCAGGACCTCCCGAACACAATCACTGTCAGAAGAGGGGCTGGAGGTCAGTGGTGGGCACTGAGCCTGGAGTCCAGGTCTTGCCCCTGACCCGCCTGGCGCGGCCCTGACCCACAGTGGTGCGTTCCACCTACCCTCCTGACACCGCGGGCCGGCCCGGCCTGGCGGGCAGCTGCAGCGATAGCCGTTGATGGCGTCCACACACGTGGCCCCGTAAGCACAGGGCGAGGACTGGCACTCGTCGATGTCTGCAGGGCAAGTGGGGCTCAGTGGTCAGCATGGAGGCCAGCACCCAGGAGAGAGGCCCATGCAGGTCCCCGTGGGGCAGGGCCCAGGCCAGCTCGGGTTTCGAACTGGGCCAAGCACCGTCACTGTCACCAGCTTAAGGATGAATGCGAATAGCCCCCCATCCTCTTCCAGAATAGGGTGGACAGGGCCCTGGGGAACAAACACCTCAGCCCAAGTAGGGTCTACCCCCTTCCGAGGCAGCCCCAGCAGCTGGGCTGGGGGGTGCGCATAGGGGTGCTGTGGGCAGGGCACAGACAAGTGGGGAAACTGAGACTTGGAGTGAGGCAGGAAGTGGCTGTGTTCACGCTGTCCGTTGGGGTATGTGAACCCTGGTGACCCCTGACCCCAGGCACCTGGGCCCGCCCCCCCCCCAGCCGCCCCGCCTCACTGATGCGACAGTCAGGACCCGCGAAGCCGGGCGCACACTCGCAGCGGAACCAGTTCACGCCGTCAACACAGACGCCGCCATTGTAGCTGCAGAGGAGAGGGTGGATGTCAGGAGCCCAAGCCAGCCTGGCTCCCCGGACCCACCGGCCCCCAGGGCTGTCACTCACCAAGGCAGAGGGTTGCAATCATTGGTGTCTGCGTATAAGGTGAGAGAAAGGGAGGTCAGCACAGCACCCACCACCCAGCGCCCTGTGCCAGGAGTGGGTGCCCCGGACATGTGGGGTGGGCAGTTGGCTTCAGGAGGAGGTGGCCCTGGGCAGCCACAGAGGGGCCAGTCCTGGAGGGTGCCTTTCGTTGAGGTGGGGGCCGCGTGAGCAGGAGCCTGGCTGCAGGGCTGGGGGTGGGGGGATCAGAGGTAGCAGGGCAGGTCTCGGAGTACAACTGTGTTTCGGCGGACAGATGCAGAGGGGCAGGCCTGGGGAGCCTGGTGGAGCGGAGCGGGCCCCCATGCCACAGCACCCCGCACCCCTCATGGACCCGCACCCCAGGCCTCCCTCCAGACAACCGCACCCCACCAGCTCACTGTGTGTGCAGGTGCGGCCCTCCCAGCCATCCCGGCAAATGCAGGAGAAGGAGTCGCCACTGCCCACACAGGTGCCCCCATTCACGCAGGGGTTGGGCAGGCAGCTGCTGTTCTCAGCTGTGAGGAGAAGGAAGGGAGTGAGCTCATCTGGCCCTGGCAGACAGGGTCTCCACACCGAGCCAAGCCAGGAGCAGGGGGCAAAGCCCGCGCCTGGGCCCCTGCCACCAGGGCCTCCTCACCGATGTTACAGGTGCTGCCCTTCCAGCCCGGGGGGCAGGCACAACGGAAGGTGTCGCCACTGTCATAGCATGTGCCGCCGTTGCTGCAAGTATAGGCGTCACACTGGAACTCGCCTGCGGGCACACAGGCTGCTCAGTGGACATGCCCCAGAGCAGCAGGCAGGTCCCGGCAGGCAGCCCGGCGGGCACTCACGCGAGTGGCAGGTCTTGCCCTTCCAGCCATCGTCACATACACAGTAGAAGTCGTTGACCAGGTCGTAGCAGTGGCCGCGGCTGTGGCAGGGATCAGGAAGGCAGTCGTTGGGATCTGGGGGCGAGGACGCCGGTCAGCAGGGGGTCACCGGCATTCGGGGAGGGCTTCCAGGGGGAGGGGGCGCTGGCGCTGGGCCGGGACAGGCAGAGGGGCGGGGAGGGCAGCCAGGCGGCTCTGCCGGGACCAGGCTGCGGGACTGGTGGGCACACCCAGCACAGCCACAGGGACGGCGGGGGAGCCTGGCGAGGCCCACTCACTTGTGTCGCACAGCTCGCCCTCCCAGCCGCTGGGGCAGAAGCAGCGGAAGGCGTCCACCTCGTCAATACACGTGCCCCCATTGCGGCATGGCTGGCCCAGGCAGTCGTCGATGTCTGTGGGAGGCGGGAATGAGCAGGGTCCCCGGCCCCCACCCGGCCCCCACCCGGCCCCCACCCGGCCCCCGACCACTCACTCTCGTGGCAGTAGGCACCCGTGAAGCCGCTGTCGCAGACGCAGGAGAAGTTGCCCCCGGGCTGGCTGACGCAGTGTCCGTGGGGGCCGCACACGCCGCTAGAGGACGCCGCACCGCCCGCCCTGGGTCCCGCCTCCAACCCGCAGCCATCGATCACTGCGGCAAACGGGGAGTGGGTCAGCCCGCCCCATCCCTGCGGGCCCCGCCCCCACCTCTGCAGGCCCCACCCACACCCACCTTTGCAGGCACCGCCAGGGCATGGCTCCCTGGGCACGGAGCAGTTCTTGCCACCCATGTCATCAGGGCACGCGCAGTAATAGTCGCCCTCCAGGTTATAGCAGCGGGCGCCATTCTGGCAGGGGCTCGGCTCGCAGAAGTCCATGTCCACCTGTGGGTGGGGGGCACCGTGAGGGCAGCCCAGCACCGAGCCGTGCTGGGAGATGATCCAGGGGTCTTGTCCATTCGAGGAATCCAGGAGGCCCCGGCCCCGCTCAGCCTGAACACCAGGACCTCTGCAGTCGGAGACTGAAGGACCTCCCACCCAAGACTGTCCAGGCTGGTCAGCTGGACGGAAACACCTGCGGGCCTCCAGGCCCCGCCCGCCACCCTCACTCGGCCACAGCCTGCTTCCTCTGCTTCCCCAGCCGCATCCGGCCTTCACCCCTCCTGCTGGCAGGAAGACCAGCTCCTGACCCTCTTCTCCAATGCCATGGCCACCCTGAACCCAGTCTGCGGGTCCTCCCCAGACGCACCACCAGGCTCCATGGCCTCAGGCAGGACCTCTTCTATGGGGCCCAGGAAGCCTGCTGGCCAGGAGCCCTGCCTTGTGCGCTCCTGCAACCCAATACTCTCCCCTGCAAAGATCAGGCCAAGTGAGAGGGACGCGGGCATGAGCTCTCAGAGAGCGTCACCCACTCCTACCCAAGACCCACGCACAGCATGTGCAGCCTCTCACAGGCTGGCACTCCCACCCCACCCTAGGTCCCTTTCGGGCTGCCTACGTGCTGCACCCGTCAAAGCACTTGCTCTCCAGTCACAGTGTGTGGTAGACAGCGCACATCGGCAGCCAACTGACCTGCTGGCTGCCGGCGCTTGTCACGACAAGCGCGGACCCTTCGACCCTCCCCCACCCTCTGTCCAGCCAGGTGCCTGGACTTTGGGGCCTGGGTCTTGGTCTAGAACTGAGCCTGGGACCCTCTGTAGGGTCAACCCCCACTGCAGCCCCTCCTGGTTACTCAGGTGGCCTGGGAACCATGGCCTGCCCCGGAGGCTCCCCGGGAGAGCAGAGCAGCACCCATCACCTCGCAGAGTGGCCCGGAGAAGCCCTGGGGGCAGTGGCAGCGGAAGCCGTCGACCAGGTCTTCACATAGGCCGCCCAGGCAGGGGCTGCTGGCACACTCGTCCAGCTGCAGCTCACAGTGCCGGCCTCCAAAGCCCCGTGGGCACACACACTGGTAGCCGTTCACCAGGTCCTGGGCGGGGTGGGTGGGCTGTGAGCTTTACAGCCGCACCCAGCAGGCCCCTCCAGCCCCACGCCCCTCCCACAGGTGCGCAGGGGCAGGGTGACCGGCCACACCTTACCTTGCAGGTGCCACCGTGCTGACACTGCCCGGGACAGTCGTCGATGTCTGGGGGACAGAGGAGCAGGGTCACGGGCAGGGTTCTCGAGCTCCCGCAGCCCTCCCACCTGCCGCGTGCCCACCCGTACTGACTGATATGGCAGTTGACGCCCTTCCAGCCCGGGATGCAATCACAGTAATAGCCACCAATCAGGTTTTTGCAAGAAAAAGCATTAAGGCACGGCTTCCCTTCACACTCATTGGCGTCTGTGAACGAGACAAGGGAGAGAGTGGGGCCTGGGCCCCACCTGCCTGCCTGGCGCCCGCAGCCCCAGCAGCCCCAGCAGCAGCAGCCACTTGCATGCACAGCGTGCGGTCCATGCACACACCTGCCCCGTGGGGCCCTTACCCAGCTGGCAGGTGGCCCCCACCCACTGCTCAGGGCAGATGCACTCGAAGCCATCCACCTGGTCCACACAGGTGCCGCCTGCTGCACACGGGCTGGAGGCACACTCATCGATGTCTGCAGAGGGACGGAAGGAGGCATGGAATGTGGGCAGAGTGGGAAGGCGGGGCCCTATAGAGGCGTCTATGAGGAGTAGGGGCCACGTGCCTGGGTCTTCCTGTCACTCCTCCCCTGGCTTAACCACTGTGTCCGCCCTCACCCTGCAGACCCCTCAGGCTGGAGTCTCCCAACACACTGGAATGGACGCTCACCCAGTGCACAGGTGGGCCCGCTCCAGCCGGATGGGCAGTGGCACTCAAAGCCGGAGGGCACCTCGTGGCAAGAGCCCCCGTTGGCACACGGGTTGGAGGCACAGGCATGCTCTGCTGTATTGGGAACCAGAGGCAGTGGGTAGGTGGGGGTGGTGGCCTGGGGCCCCAGCTTTCCACAAGTGCTCCTCCCCAAACCCCCAGGGCCCCAAGGCTGGGGTAAGGGAGTGCCCAGGGCAAAGAAGCCAGACACCTGAGAACCAGCACGGTGCCCGCAGAGGGCCCTGACATACCCCGCTCACAGTTCCTGCCCGAGTAGCCGGCAGGGCAGGCGCAGTGGTACTGGTCGGGCTCAGCATTGATGCATGTGCCCCCATTGGTGCAGGGGTGGTGGCTGCCGCAGTAGTTCAGGTCTGGGGGCAGGGGTGGGGTGCTCAGGCGACAGGCCCCGCCCCTTGCTCCCCACCTTTCCCGAGATGGCTAAGGCTCAGGCCTTGCCACCTGGCCGCCCACCACCCACCGACTGCCGACCGCTACCTTTGTTGCAAAGCAGGCCACCCCAGTTGGTCTCGCAGTTGCACTGCCAGGGCTCCACGCAGCTGCCATGCACACAGCCGGGGTATGGGACGCACTCGTCACAGAATCTCCCCTGCCAGCCATAGCTGCACCTGGGGAAGTCCAAGGGCCATGGGGCCTGGTGGGTGAGGGTGGACGCCGGGAGCTGTGGCGGCTGCCAGGGTGGTGCAGGGACTCAGGCACAGTCACGTGGACCACCCCAAGCTGGCAGCCTGGGCCTTTGAACTGGAGCAGGCCCCAAGCCAGGTGGGGGTTACGGCCGGCCGGCCGGCCAGCCAGCCCACACTGTCACGGGCACTTCCCGGCCGGTGGCCGAGGACAGTGGGCCGCAGCTGTCCAGTCACTCCTCCCTGAGCTATTTTGAGACTTAGCCCCGAGCAGGGCCCCAACAGCAGGCGCCGGGAAAGGGAGGCCCTGCCGGGACCCCAGGAATGAGCGTGCCAGCTCAGACCACAGGCCAGCAGGACATCAGGAGAGGGCTCCCAGCTTGGCCCTGGCTCTGTGACCTTGAGCACAGCTCAAGACCTCACCTGAAACTCAAGGGCAGTAACTTCTCTGTCCCAACAAAGCCCTATCAAGGGCCCATCTCGCAGGTGGGGGTACCAAGGCCCATAGGCTGCGGCGGGACAGCCCTGCGAGAGGCCAGACTCAGGGCAGTACCTGACCCAGGAAGAGTCACCTGCTCCCTGGCAAACGGCCTTGAGAAACCTCTTGGTTCCCAGGCCATGACCCTGAGGCCCGGCGCTGCTCCACGCCATGGGCAAGCCTCCCCTCCAAGGAGTCTTTCAGGAGGTGGGGCAGGTGGCCAGGGCAGAAAAGGCACCAAGGCCGTCAGTGCAGGGCTCTCCCAGGCCGTGGCTGCCCCAGGAAACTCACAGGGCACGGGGCTGGCTGCCCTACCGAGGGCCCAGAGCTCAGTCTGACTCGGGGGACGCTGTCAGGGGAGAGAGCCCATTGTCCTTCGACAGACACCCCGGGGCCCGGCAGGCCACCCTCCAGGCCCTGAGCAGGACCCCCAGAAGCCCCCTTCCTAGAACTTGACAATCCTGTGGGAAGGGAGTGATGTCCAGACCATGTCACTTCCGCGCCGGCACCTGCCATGGGAATTTATTTTGTAAAAGGACGGAGCCACGGCCCTTCCTGGGCCATCCAGAAGGAACACTGGCCAGCTCAGTGGGCACAGGGACAGGGAAGCCGAGACTGGTTAGAAGGGGCTCCACCATCCAGCCACATACGCGCAGAGGAGCCACCCCCACCTGAATCCTCCCTCTAGGTGACGTGGGAGACCAGGCTGAGGTGGGCCCATGCCACCTTGGGTCACCCCGGCTGGTCCCAAGGGCGTGCTCTCAGCCTTGGGTGGGGCAGCCCTCGGCAGGCCCCCACCTCCCCAGCCTACGGCTCCAGAAGCCTGGGAGGAGGCGGCAGGAAGGCACGGCCATCTCCGCAGCATCCGGTGGGGGGTGTCCTGCCCTGAAACCTGAGCCGGGAGCCACCGGCAGCAGCTGGGCCTCACCCACAGGGCCAGGGGGGCGGGCGGGGGCTGGCCTCTGTCCCCAGGAGTCCTGCCCCTTGGCTTCCTGCACAGCCCACGCCAGCGAGAGAATGGGGCAGAGACCAACTGCCCTCCCACCTTCCTCCACCTCGGCTGCTCAGTCACCGGCCCGCTACCCAGGACCACTGGCCCGGCGTCAAGGTTGTGCACTGCACATAGTGCCAGCCAGGGTGTGCGGGGCTGCCAGCCACCCGCCGTGCTCACTCTCCTGCTACTGGGGCCCAGAGTCCCCAGGCTCACACCCATCACACAGGTCAGAGGGCAGGCCCCACATCCATCTTTCCCACCGAGGGTGTGCCTCCTGGGGGGCTGCTCCCCAGCACATGGACCTGCCCTGGGCCAGGCTGCCCCCAGGTGTCCTCTCACCCCTGCTGTGTCCCCACACCGGCTTCAGTCCAGCAGTGTGAGGGGCTCGGTGGGTGAAGCCCGAGCCCCCTGCCCTTCCCTGGCCAAAACCACCACACAACAAGCAGAGGGGTCACCGCCCCTCCCTTCCTGGCTCCCAAATCTCGCCCTCCTGTCTAAACGCATCCCCGTGTGACCCTGCAGAAGGTACTTAACGTTTCTGTGCTTGGTGTCCTTGTCAGAAAAACGCATGTGGAAGCAAACCCACACCGTGGGGGGGTGGGGGGGGGTCCTGGGATTAGTAAGATGCCAAGCTGGGGCCAAGAGCTTCCCTCACCCCCGCCTACAGCCCCTCCCCAGGGCGGAGCGCGTCCACCTGAGCCCAGCCCCGTCTCCCAGGCTGTCCTAGTGCACTCCCAGCGCCCACCCTGGCTTGCATACTGTGAGAGCGCCCTGCTCTAAGTCCCCCGCCCACTCTAAGCCCCTGGCCAAGGGCCCCCTGGCTGCCCACCCCTGCCTCCTGGCTGCCCCTTCCTGGCAAAGCTGCTCACCCACTGCTCTTCTCCCAGCCCCCCTGACCTGCCCAATCGGGGGTCTCTCCCACCATCCCTCAGGTCCAAGTCTCCAACACCTGGTTGCCAGGACCCCCGCCCTCCCGGTCCGCTCCGACCCCCAGCGGCCGCCTCTGCACACCATCACACACCTTTACCAGGAGGAGGCCGACTGGCTCCCTGGCGTCTGCTATCCACCTGCCCCCAGCCCAGGGCTTTGAACTCTGTCTGGACGTTACAGCTGCCTCACTTGTGTCTCGGGCCAGGCCTCTCCCCATAAACCCTCGGCCTTCCAGAGGTCTCCTGGGAGAGGGCAGACACTTCCCTCCAGTGTGACAGGCCTTTCTCTACCTGCCTGCTCTGCCCGCGGCACCCCACCGATCAGCGGCACAAGCCAGAAGGCCTGGGGTCCTCCGCTGCAGGATGTCTGCAGGCCCCGCCCAGCGCGCCACCTCCTGCTGCGCTGTCACCTTTACCCCGAGCCCCTCAGCCTCCCAGTCTGGCTCTTCCTTCCTTCCCGGCTGGCCCAGCTCTGACCGCTCTGGGTCCCACCCCACTCTCACTGGCCACTCGCGGGCCCCCGCCCACGAGCACAAGCCCCCATGCTGTCTGCACCTGGTCCTCCACGCTGCAGACAGCCATCCTAAGGTGGCCCTTGGTCTCCAGGCCTCTGCCTCGTGGACGTGACTGTCCTGGCCACGTTACATGAAATGGCCCTGGCCACTCTCCCCGTTCTATGCCACGCCGTCCTTGGGGGCTATCGCCATCGGCACGCCCCGGGCTCTGAGGACTGGGGTCTGCCCTGCACCAATTATAAGCCGCACAGGAGCAGGGCCTGCGTCTCGGATGTCCAGCACAGCGAGTGACCGTGCACAGTAGGTGCTCAGCCGCCCTCTGTGGAGGGAGGAACATGTAGGAGCAGCTGTTTGCTGGATTGGGCCACCAGGGCCCAGCAGGGGGAGGGGGACCGTGGCACTCACCTGCACTCCCCAGGCACCGCACATCCCCCGTGGAGCAGGTTACAGCCTTGTTTACACACGGCTGGAACAGAGGGGAGCAGAGCCGCTGCAGCGGGGCCAGCCACCATGCCTGAGGCTCCCCACACATGGCCCCAAGCCCTCTGCACACCGCCTGAGCCCCCCTGCACATGCCCCAAGACCCATGCACACCCCAAAACCTCCCTGCAGGTGTCCCCAAACCCCCCTGCACACGCACCTTGCTTACACTCCCGGCCCATCCAGCCATCCATACAGGCCTTGTTGCCATACTGGTCGCAGGTGTAGTGACCGAAGAAGTCACTGCGTGGCCGGCAGAACTTGTTGCAGGTGGGGCTGTAGTAGTTCTCGGCGCAGCGCACACGCACCTGCAGCTCCAGCTGGGCCACGTGGCCGCTGAAGTGCAGGCTCTTCCAGCGGTCCTCAGGGTTGATCATGCCGGCGTGCCACACGCGCTCGATCAGCAGCTCCTCTGCAGGGGCGGCACGGTCGGTCAGCCATGAGGACACCGCTCCCGCCCAAGACAGCAGCCCGGGCGGCCGCAGGAAGCGCGAGCCCAGCGAGGACACCTGCTCCGCACCCCAAACGCAGCTGCACTGGGGCAGGGAGGTGGGGGCGCCCCTGCAAGGCCCCCCCTGCCCCACGGTGATGGCCCTCCTCCCACGCCAGTGCCCCCCACCCCGGGCACACATCACCCCTGTCCTGCATGGGGCTGTCACTCAGCTGCCCTGTGTCTCTCCTGCTCCTGAACCTCAGGGCCATTCCCACAACAGGCACACCGGACAGCCCAGTCGCAGACATGCCTTCTCTCGGCCCCCATGGCACCTGTGACCAGTGACCCAAGGCTGGGCCTCACCTCAAACCAAGCCATTGTTTGGACGGGGGCCGAGTGGTAGCCACGGGCACACAGGCCGTGAGCCCATTCCCTGCACTCTTGTGCCTTTGGGGTTCTCCACAATGACAGGCTAGGGAACGCGGTGCGTGCCACGCTCCCTCCTCTGCCCTAAGCAGGGGCCTCTCCTAGCCAGGACTGTGCCACGCTCCCTCCTCTGCCCTAAGCAGGGGCCTCTCCTAGCCAGGACTTGCACCCACACCCTACCGCCCGTCCCACTGCACTCTTTGCCCTGGAACACTCCAGACTGGGGTGACCCGTCCTCGTGCCTGCTGGGTGCCCCATGACCGCCACTCCCAGTCCAACTCCCCACCCCCCAGCATTGTCTCTTGTGGGACCCAAGACTCAAAGCCTCCATGGTCTGACCCCAGCCTCGCTGACCTCATTGCTTCAACTCTGTCACATGGTCCCCTGAACACCTCAGGCTCACTCTGCCTCGGGGCCTTTGCACGTGCTGCTCCCGCTGCCTACAGTGCTCTTCCCATTTGTCCATGGAAAACCTCTTTGCCACCACAGGGCCCTGCACAGGCCCGCCAGCAGCAGGTGAGTCGGGGAGAGGACCAGCAAGCCCTATGTTCCAGGACAGACAGACAGAAAGCACCTCTCGGGGTGCCCCACTGCACTGTGCCACTGACATGGCCCCAAAGGAACATGACCACCAGGAGAACACAGATGAAGCCGAGACTGGGGAGGAAAACAGCATGCATAGCTCCGCTAATCACAAATGCGGCAGAGCTTCCTGGCAGCCAGGGTGAAAAGGGACACTGCACACAAGATCCTCAGGAAGAGGCAGCTTTCCTGGCATGTGGGCCTGTCCTCAGCACGCAGAGAACAAGGAACCTGGCCACAGACATCTCTATGGCTGGGAAGGGTCAGTGGCCACTGGGTAGGCAGTGGCCGGTCACAACCCACCCAAGCCGGGGCTCACTCACCATCCAGGCTGGTGTCGTTGTCCCAGTCCCAGGCTTCCACGATGAGGGTGAATGAACGCTACAGACATGGGGAGGGGCCAGTCAGGTATCTGAGGCCCCCACCTGCCTGCTGCTGTACAGGTGGGGGCCCGCCTGCCATACCCCAGCCCTGAGCCCCAACTCTGCCCCTGAGTCTGTCAGGGCTCCTCCCCAGAGCTGAGAATCCTCAATCCCCCCTTAGCTCTGAGAAACAGCCTCTGGCCACATGTCAGCAGACCCCCAGATGACCTGCTTCAAGAGGGTCACCAAGCCTCAGGGGCCTTAGGTTCCTGGCTCCTGTAGCCAGTGGCCCACGCGGGCCCAGCCCAACCAGCTGTAGTCAGCAGGGAGAGGAGAGAGTGACAGATGCTGCCCTCTCAGGACACGGCAGGTGCACAGTAAACAGCACACAGCCCACACACCTGCCTCACTTGAGAACATGAGAAGAGGCCCTTGCTGCACAGATGGGAAACTGAGGCCCAGGGACGCCCAGTGCAGCCTTAGCTGCGGCCGCCACTCCCCCGACCCTACTCCCAGGACCATCTGGCCCTCCAGCCCCAGGCTATGTGATGGGGTGACACCACTGAGCAACCCCAGGACCCGCCCACTCCATGAGGGTAAGCACGCAGGCCTTGTCACTCGCAGGTACAAGCTCCTCCAGGGGTGAGCCGGGCCTCTCACCCAGCTTTTCTCTGCCGGGGACCCTCCGTGGCTCCCCCATCCACTCCACTCGACTCCATCTTTGGACCAGTCATGAACGGGCTGACCACGCCTCCACCAGACCCTGGTTCTCCCAGGGATGGGGACCCACAGGATAAGGTCACCTCTGGGGCCACAGGCTGCCAGCTTCCTGACCAAGGGGGCACCCACCCAGGCTGGTCACACCACCTGGTCTCCTGCTGACGCCCAGACCCAAGCCTGCCAGTCCTCCCTGGGCAAGCCCTGCCGTCCCGCCCCCACCCCCACACCCTACCCATGGGCTGTCTGCCACACCTAACCAGACCCACTGCCTCTGGACACCGGGCACTTGGGGACCCTTCTCTTCCTGTCCGTTAGCTTCCCTCCCCTCATCCACTCAGCTGCCCCACCAGCAAGGGCCTCCGAGACACCCAGACGACCCCCAGGACCTCATATCCACCAGCTGCCACGCCGGGGCCCACACCTACCCAGGAGCACAGGCTAGAAATGGGGCGCCATCCTCTACCCTTCTAGAACCCTTCCTGCCTCCCGTGGGTCTGTCACCAGGCTCTCAATCCCACCTCCTGAATCTCCCTTAACCCCATTCCCCCTCACCCGCCACCACCTTCCACCAGGTCAGCAGGCCTGTGCCAGGCTGCCCCTCCAAGGGCTGCCTGCAGCGACTGGGCCTTCTACACCCGTCCACGTGAGCCGCAAAGACCGCAGGGCTCTGTCCACATCTTCCCCATGCTCAGAGCCCTCTTGACGCTCCCCACAACTCCTGCCTTCCTCACCGCCACCCCAGATGCCCACCCTGCCCCTGGGCCTTTGCACATGCAGCTCCTCCCTCAGCCTGCCCCCGGCTGTTGCTACTCATGGTAATTGTTGGAGTCCCAGTTCCTTCCTTGTTTCATTCGTTCGTTTGTTCCTTCATTCACGTATGGACCCTGCACTAAGTATGGCTCTGTCACTGGGGACCCCAGCCTCTGTCCTGGCAGACAGATGAGCCGGCATGGCTTCAGGGAGGGGGTGAAGTGCTGTCCCACCCGGGGTGAGGGCCGGCCTGGCAGAGGGTGCACCGGGACCGATGCTGCGGAGAGCGAGGGAGGCGGCTCCCCGTGCAGGGGCGCTGCACGGCTGGACAGAGGTGTGAGTCAGGTCGTGGGGCCACACACCCCACAACCAACTTCGGCGCCAATACTGAGCAAAGTGAGTGGTGACGGGGGTCCGACTGAGGCCTGAGATGCCGGGCAGAGTGGGCACTAGGGTGGGCAGAGGCGGGAGCTGGGAGCCAGCACGGCGACGGGTGAGTATGACAGGACGGGCCACTGTGACCTCCACTGTGGGTCAAGCCCCCCAGCGGAGCAGGAAAGCCCACCCCACAGGGCCGACCTGGCCATCTTCCGGCACCTGGGCTCCGAGCTCCCAGGAAACCCCACGCCGGCAGCCCAGGTAGGATTACGGCCACCTTCGCCCGAGCCCAGGGCTCCGGTTACCTGCTCCCACAGGGACGAGCGCCCGCCTGCCCGCCTTCGAGGGCCCCAGCGCCCACCAGCTGGGCTCCCTACACCTGGATGGCAGGGAGTCATCCAGGGAGAACCTGAACCTCCCTCGGTGCCGGGCCCCAGCCGCCTCTCCTCCCCTGGGCTGGCCTCCAGGACTCAGCTTCCCTCAGCAAATGGCAGCCTGTCATCGCTGCGCTGCCTGCCTCACGGCCACCAGCCCGTCAGCCCCAAGCCCTGCAGAGCCTGGGCGGGGCCTCAGAGGGGCCCTGGGTCCCAGAGCCAGACTGGGGTTGGTGCCTGGGAAGGTGTGTGAGGGCTGGGCTCCCTAGCGAGCAGGCAGAGGAACCCTGGTCCCTCCTCCAGGCTGTGGGAGGTCCACTTGTCCCGCTGGCCTCAGTCCCTGAAGACCCAGCACCTCTTCCTGCAAGCCTGCCCTGACCCAGCCACACCACACAGGCAGACCCCCAAGGCCAGATCCAAACCCTCATCTGACTCAGACGGGGTAACAGGGCAGTAGCCCAAAGACATGGAAATGGCACGGGGCAGACATGGGACCAGATGTACCACACCCCACGGCTGAAGGAACCCCGTGGCTCAAGACACCCCATGGCCTGAGGCACCCCAGGCCTACTGCCCAGGTCCAAGCCTCCAGCCTGGCTCCCTTCTGGCAGCACCCAGCATCAGCCGTCTGGCCCCCCACGGAGCAGAGCTGGGTGTCCGTCAGTGCCAGGAGCTCTGTGCACAGATACATTTCCTGAAACCCGAGCTTTGGAGAGGCCCAGGCCTCTGCCGCCATTGTCACTGGAGCGAAAGGGGGAAGGGGCCACCTCCCCCAAGGTGCTGGGCCCCAGGGCCATGGCAGGAGGGATGGACAACAGGCCCACCCCACACAGGAACCCAGACGCCCACACTCCACACCAGGGACCCACCAGGGTCTTGCCTGGGTGTGCCCCACCCACTGCACCGTCGGGTCCCTTGCTGGGAAAGAGGACCAGCAGCCCAGGGTCTCCCGGCCCCCTGTCACATGGACCTGTGAGACTGCTGCAGCAAAGCCCACAATCGGGCTGATCCTAGCCACACCTGGCTCACCTGGGGTCTGGGGATGGGGACCCTGCTCACTTGAGATTTGAAAGATGGGACCCCTCCTCACCTCAAGTCTGGAGATGTGGACACAACTCAACTGGAATATTGGGGATGGGGACTCAGCAACCTGAGGATTAGAGATGCTTGTCTCCCACCTCCAGCTCAGGCCCTGGCCTGGCTCCCCCAAGAGCCCCCTCATTGGTCCCTGAAGGGGATCCTCCCATGAGGCCCCTGCCTCAAGCCCTGCAAGGGCTGCTTTCCTGGCTCCTCAGCCCACCCCTCAAGGCCCAGGGACAAAGCCCGCAGCCCACTTCCAAGCCCTCCGCTGGCCGGTGCAGCCCTTCCAGGGTCCCCACTTTGCCCAGGCACCTGCTGAGTCCCACCCAAGCAGGACTCCTAGGCCCTGCTGGGAAGGTGTAGGAGGGAAGGGGGCAGCGTGCACAGGGAAGGCCCCAGGAGGGGAGTGAAGTTCCACCAGTCCCCAGCCCCTAGCTCCTTGTGGGGGCAGGGAGCACAGAGAGGGTGACTCTCACCGACCTCAGCCTGGCCAGCCCCAGGCAGGGGGCTCATGTAGCTGCTGGGCCCCCACGGTAGTTGGATTTGGTGGGCCCAGGCCCTGTGCCCACATCCCACCACAGCCCCCTTAGGGTACAAACGGCCCTGACCTGCCAAAATGCGCCCCCCTGACACACATACCCCTGAGCACACCCCTGGCCCCAGGGATGCGGGACTTCCGCTGGGCAGCCATGGGGCAGAGGAGGGGACTAGGCAGGCTGGGCGCCGGGCGAGGGGCTGCCTGCAGCCCTGTCCCACTCACAAGGCCACGTCATTGCCCCATTTCACAGGTGGGGGAGCCAGGCCCCAGAAGCTGCCATGGCCCAGGATCTCCGGTTGGCTGCACTGTCAGAAACGGGGTAGGCCTGAGGCCCACCCGGGGCGTGTGAGAGAGCCCATGCCCACCTTGGCTCTCCCAACTCCAGCTCTGCCCACCACCAGTCACCAGACACCGCTGTACACAGGCCGGAAGGTGTGGCCTCCAGCTGAGCTGCAGCCCCCTCACTCGGGGCGGGGCCCGGGCTGCCACACTGGGCCTCTATCTGCCAGCACCTCTGAACCCACCGCCCAGCAGGCCCCTCCAAACCCTCTACCAGCCACCTGCCACACCCAGAGAGAGCATGTGCACACACAGGCACACATGACCAAATGTGGCCTCCACCTTGCCAGCTACAAGCCAGGCTCCAGGGCCAAAAGGGTGTCACTGACCTCCTGGGAAGCCAGTCACAGACAGGGGGTCATCTGTGGGGTGGGGTCAGGTGGAGAAGGGCAGCTCCCATCCTGGGGGCTGCCTCCTGGAAGGTCTCGCCCCACCTACCCACATCTAAGACCCTGGATTGCCCCTCTCCAGGAGGCTAAGCCTGACAGCAACATGGAACTAGTCGTAGATGGCACAAAGACACTGGCCCACGTGACCAGGTCAGGGTGCAGAGAGCCACCCAAACAGCCTGGAGCACTGGCAGAGGCCAGGGGTGGGGGTTAGGGCTGGCCGACAGGGTGGCAGAGTGCAGAGCCCAATTAGCTCCTGCCTCCAGGGGCGGGCTCAGAGGCAGGAGGGGCAGTTCCCTGTACCCCTCCTTGGGGGCCCACCTTCCACCTGCAGCCGCTCCTAAGGCCCTCCTCAGGCCGCCTACCCGAGGGTCCCCAGGATTCCAAGCTGGCCCTGGGCAGGAGCCCCACTATCCTGCCAACCAAAGCCCCTGAGGCAGGGCCCAGCCACTCCTCAGTCCCCAAGGAGCCCAGCACAGTCCCTGCTTTCTCCAGGCGGATCGGCCTGATGGGTGCCCCGGGTTCCAAACGCGCCCCAGCGGACTCACAGCAAGCCAAGGCGCGTGGCTGCTGCGGCCCAGCGGAAATACCAGCGCGCTGGCATCACCACACCACTACACGCCCGGCAGCCCAGCCATAGGGCCGCAGGGAGGAGAGGTGGGAGCTGCCCCAAACATGTGCTACCTCACGGCCCTGGCCCCCCACCTGGGGGGCGGGCCACCTGCCCTCTCATGGGGCATCTGAGGGCACTAGCTGGGACAGGGTGAAGAGCGGTGAGCTGGCCTGAGACCCAGTGCCCAGAATTCAGGGCTCCCAGGGAGCTGAGGGTCTGCCCAGCCTGTCCCACCCCTGACCAGCCTGTGGGGCTGAGAGCCACGCGGGACCCACGTTGGCTTGCCACATTCCTCCAAGGCCTCCCTGCCCCCATGCCACTGCTGCCAACTCGAGCAGAAAACACATCCTCAGGTAGCGATTTGGAGCCGCCCTGGCTGGGGCCCAAGTGCAGATGACAGGCTGCGGCCCTGCTCAGACCTGCCTGCTTCTCGGCTGTGGGGGCGAGGGGGCGGGGCTTATCGGAACTGCCCGGGGCCCTCCCAGGCCTGTCCCTGCCTTTTCCATCTCAGGGACACATTCCCCTGGGAGGCCCTGGGGTCAAGGGAGACCCCCAGAGGCCAGTTGGGCTCCCAGGGGGCAGGGCCATGGCAGGTGGTCATGAAGCCTTGAGAGTGGGACAGCAGGGGAGGCCGCCTGGTCCAAGCTTACGAGAAAGTACCAGCACAGGGCTGAGGCAGGGTGGGGCAGGGGTGCAGCCCCCCCACCCCACATTGGGTAGGTCCTATTGGCCCAAACTTGCCGGCCAAGACTCAACTCCCAGTCTTTCCGAAGCAGGGCACTAGGTGGACATATCCTGGTGCCTCCAGCTGGCTGGTTCAGCTGGAAGTCCTTGGTCATAAGGTCCGGCTCCTCCATCATAGCCTGACACCTTCCTCCATCTACTTCTCACTCCCAGGCCCACCCCAGCTGCTCCTGACCCTGGACACTGGGGTCCCACCTCACAGGGTCCTTGCATTCCTGCCCCACCCAGGTCCAGGCCTGCAGCACAGAGACCCTCAAGTGCCAGGGGCCAGGCCCTACTTCAGAAAACAGACCACATCAGGTACCTGGAGGCCTCGAGACGCCTGCCAGCGCTCCCTCCCAGAGCCCCCTGCCTGCCTGTCCCAGGCCTCTCCCGCCATGCCTTGGGGCAGTTCCCATCCCTCCCGGCATCCCCAGGCCCAGGGCTCCTGCTAGACTGGCCACTCCCCAAGCCTCCTCCCAAAATAGTAAAAACAAAACCAAAAACCCTCACACGGACGGTGCCACAGAACCACGGGCACCAGAGCCGGTCCCCCTCCCCGGGGTCCTGGGCCAGCAGCAGGAGCTGCAGCCAACACGCATGCATGAGCCCTCCCGGACCCTGGTCCCTCAGCGCCCGCCCCAAATGCCCCCCACCGCCACAG